CCCCAAAACCCCAAAACCCCAAAACCCCAAAACCCCTATCTTCAAATACTTCGGTGAAATATATAATAATTTAAATTTCAAAATGAAATATTCTTTCTCCGAGAAAGTGATCAAGGTAAGTTTAAGAAGATTTTTATGTTATTTTGAGATATTTTTGGACTGGTAGGATGGGGTTTTAGATGTTAGAAGGGGATTAAAGGGGGTTTTAGGAAGTAGAATTGGAGATAGGAGGGTTTGGTTTTTGGAAATTTTTAGGGTTATTTTTGGTGAAATTTTTCTTCTTGGAGATTAATGTAGGACTACAGATATTGAAAATAAGACTTAGCAACTTGATTTAAGCAAACTTAGCTTAAATATGCCAGTTTTAGAGTTCTTTTATTTGCTCAAATTTTCTAAAATCCTCTCAAATTTAAACTCTTGTTAGCATATAAACTCGCAGAGTCATTATAATTTAATTCCAAACAATTAAAATGAGCCAACAATCCAAGGTACTTTGTTTGCAATTCCTTAAGCATAATTTGACTGAAAACTAACCAATATAGAAACTAAAAGAAGAAAATAAAGAGGTCATCGAAATTGAAGATGATAACGATGACATTATGATCTGTGAAAACTGGACAAAATGTAGTGAAAGCAATGACACAGATAAAGACAGTGTACATAGCTTATCACCTCCTCGTGTAGTCCCCACCAAAGATATACATCAAGAAGACGATACTTATATTAGTTGGAATGATTGCCCAGCTGCTGCTAAGTTTCCTAGCTGTGTTAACCAAAATTTCAAATCTAACAAGCCGAAAAAGTCTCGAAAGCCTCAAAAGAAGAGAGATAGAAAAATGATGTCTAAGAACAAGAACAAACGTAAATTCAATAACTATAAAAAGCAGAAAATTAACAGTAAAACAAGTTGGCCTGGGAAGGCTCCTGGACTGAGCATTGAAAAGGTACCCACGAAAAGAGATCTAACGGATGGCCAGTTTGATGCCTTCTTCAAAGACTCTCGCAAGGAAATTTTCAAGATTCAAAGGTAAGTAAGAATAACCAATTTTTGAGTTGTCACTTTTTCATAAGAATTACAAAATGACCAATTCTGTAGGTACATCAATCACTCAACACAGTTGATTAATGAGTCTAAAGAGAAGCAGGAGTGGGAAATGTGAAATTACTATGAGGGAGTCAAGAAAGTCTTCCTAGACATACACAATAAAGTCGAAGCAGAAGCCATCAAACAAACTTTAGAGCAGAAAAACAAGAATGGAATTAAAAACTGAATTGATCTTCATGGATTGAAAAAGAATGAAGCCTTGAAAGTACTTACTATTGTAATAAGTAACCTGTGTAACTCCAAGCAAAAGAATTCTCAAATTGAGTATACTGTTATCACTGGAAGAGGAAATCACAGCAAGGACGGACCAGTTCTGAAACCAGCTGTTGAACAATTCTTAAAAGATTGCCGGATACCATATCGGGAGATCAGCAGCAAGGGAGGATACACCTTCCAAATATAATTCGTTTCTAAGTAATTTGGTCTCAATTTTAGTCTTTTTTAAAGGGGTTTTGGGGTTTTGGGGTTTTGGGGTTTTGGGG